GCGCGGGTTGCTGGAATTACATGAACGATGTAGTGCGGACGTTTTGGGCTTACTACTTCGGATTGATCGCCTGGAATGCATTGTTGCCATCACCTGTATTAGTTTTTTGTCCTATTTGGTTAGTGAGGTAGAATGGGTGGAATGGTATGCGATGGGATGGATTGGATGGAATGGATGGGATGGATGGATCGGATATGGATGGCATGGATGGATGGATGGACTGTATGGATGGATGGATGGGCATGGACGGGACGGACGGCGGACGGAACGGACGAGACGGCGACGGTTATGGTATGGATGAATGGATGGATGGATGGAATGATGGATGGCATGGATGGATTGGCTATGGGATGGATGGATGGGATGGATGGATGGATGGATGAATGGATGGACATGGATGGATGGATCGGAGGAATTGATGATGCATGGATGGAATGATAGAGATAGAGATGGTATGGATGGGATGGCACATGGATGGATTGGGATGAATGAATAATGGATTAGGATGGATGATTATTGAATGCATGGAGATGGAATGGATGGATGGATGGATGGATGGCACGGAGCGGATGGATTGGAACGGCGGACGGACGCACGACGGCGCTAGCGGACGGACGACGGCGGACGAACGGACGGACGGACGGACGGACGGACGGACGGACGGACGGATGGATGGATGGATGGATGGATGGATGGATGAATGGATAGATAGATGGATGAATGGATGGATGGATCGCGAGATAGATGAATGGTGGATGGGCGGCCGAATGGAAGAACGGATAAACGGATGGAAACAAGGATTATGGCTAAAAGTTCGATTGATTGAGGTTTCCACATTCACAATAAATTCCTGTCATCGCTGTCCGTCGGTAGCCGCCTCGCGCAGTCGGCCTTTCTGTGGATGTCACCAGCGACGTCGCGTCACGCATTTCAGCCCGGTGACACGGTGACACGGTGACCTTCGCCGCGACGATTCTCCGGCGTGCGCGAAATAAACAACGACGGACGCTCACTACCCCTCGCTTACTCTTCACGCGTTTTCTCTTCACTCTCAAACGCGACTCCTATTAGAATCCCGGACTCGAGCCCCCTCCCCCTCCATCTCCTCCTCTTCTTCCACAGCCGCGCCCCAGCAGTTCAACGAACGCTCGCCTCCAATGTAATGAGATTTCATCGCTAAAAGCCGGCGCCCTAATACCGAGTGATGTGCACTGATTGCGGTACGCGCCCAGCCAGCCAGACCGCGCGCCAGAAGCTAATGTCTGCTGACAAACGACGCTGCGAGAAGAAGACGCGTCGACATGGCGCGCCGTAACGCCCTCTGTCGGCGTGTCGGCGTCGATAGAGCATTGCGTTTCCGGTTCCCAGTGGAACCCCGCGTGGAGTAATCACGATCGAAGTTGATAACCGGAGGTTCACGAATGAAAAAATTGAGGTCAAGTCGTAATATATTTTGTGATATGTCGAAAAGAAATGACTTGGACTTGAATCACGACGATGATGTAGATGGAACCGGTCAGACGGTGGCTGCGAGAAAGGAGGAAGAAATAGATCCAGAAGGACAGAACGAACCCAAAAGAAACACACACACGCTTGCGCGCACAGACACAGGGGGACATATTGAGTGAGAGAGAAAGGGAGAGAAAAGAAAATTCCTCTGAGTGCTACCGCGGCGGCGACAGGATGGAGACACACGCGACCAATGACATATCGATATCTTGTCTCCTGTCACGAATCGCCGAGTGAACGCGCGAAATGCAAGCAGTGCAATCTTATAGTTAAGTAGCACTTCATTGTCGCTGACATCCGACGATTCTGTCGGCGAGGGCAGACGAGTGAGTGACGGGGTCAGTTGACAAGACGGCAGCGGGTTCGGGAGACAATACAGCGATATGGTCAACAGCCGACACAGACACGGACGTCAAATGTCGTTTGCATCGTGCGCACGTAATAGTTCGCTAACGCCACTCTGAGATTCTCCGTAACCTTAAGGGGCGCCTAGTAAAGATAACAGATAAAAGAGCGAGTAAGATCGATAATGTGGCGTCTCTTTTTTTCGATGCGACGTGCCTCGCTCCATCAAAAGTTCTGTGCGATGAGGCATATATATATATATATATATACGCGACTTTTTTATATTAGCAGTGTCGATGTAAAAATCAAATGAAACCTTTACCGCCGGAACCGGGTGCATAACCGCATTGCCGAGAAGCCGTGTGATAATAAGAATTGTCGTGTAACGCTGTGTGGGGAATTTAATTATACGTCCGACTCTCGCTCAGAATTCAGCTCGTTTCTATCAATTCTTTCTGCGATGAGAGAAGATTCGTCATTGCGTGAGTAATCTAGCCCATGATTTATCTGGGAAGATTGCCCTGAATGATATGATACAGTAATTACCGTAAAACAATAAAACACCGACGCAGACCGTTGCCATTGTTAACGTCATCGTCATCGCAATCGTTATCGTCTAGACTGGGCTCATCGCGTTGTTATAAACAAAGTGAGCAGACAGAGGCTCACTCATCGTCAACGTCAACGTCATCGTTATTGTCGCGCGCGTGTTGTCGTGAGACTTTCCGTCTCAATAAACGTATAATATATATATTAGTATGAACGTAAAGAAGTATATGAGTATGATAGAATAATAGTATAGAAATATAGGGTAACTATTAAGTAAACTATTATAAAAGTTCAGAGGCATAGATATAGAAGTATTGACGCATATAATTATAGAAACAGAGGTACAGACGTATAGATGTATTACGTATAGAAGTCTAGGATTATTTATGATTGCAGAGCCCATTGTGTGACTGAACTCACTTAAACTTATTTACATAAACCCGGTGGAACGATGTTAACGTCATAGTTATGACTAACATTATGACTAACATAAATACTAAGAGTAGTGCTATGATACGAGAACAGCATTGGCATAGACATTCTAGCAGCAAAGATCATTGAAGTGTACAGGAACATGGTCGTCAAATCGACCAATTACATTAGAGGCGATTGTATTTCCAGTCAACGATGCATTGTGGGATATCGCGGACGATTCCCATGTTGCAATCTCATACCAACGAATTGAACAATTCCCCGCCTTTACAAGCCTCCGTCCTAATACGCCCTCAAGAATAATAGTTATAGCCACAAATGGGGGGATTACCATAACAAATATCAGATATACTAGCAGAGTATTTAATTTATAATTTCGTTCATTTCAATTTAACGTATATATATATATATATGGCCGGCTAGAAGGTTTATTAGGAGTTGTAATTCTCGTAAGGCTAGTATTATTTTGACAAGCAAGTCTGACTCTTTCGCGCGCCCTCTCTCACTCCCTCTCTCTCTCTCTCCTTCATTTGTTTGCCTCTTCTCTCTCTCTCTCTCTCTCTCTCTCTTTCTTTCTCTTTCGCGCTCTCTTTTGCGTGCGCTCTCTCTCGCCCTCCCGTCTCTTTCTCTCTTTTACGCTCTCTCGCCCTCTCTCACTCTCTCCCGGCGTTCTCGCTCTCTCTGGGCCCTCTCTTTCTCGCTCGCGTCCCCCCGCTCTCTCTCACCCTCTCACTATCTCCTCTCTCAGCTATTACCGAGGGGCTAGCCAACGCGATCAGACAGCTACGAGCACGTACGCTTGCTTTACGACGTCCCGGCGTCCTCGCCTCCGCCTCTCTTTCAAATAGATGTAGCAGTAATTTAGATTGGCGGCCGATTGCCTCGCACGAATAAATGAAAGCCGACGATGAAGCTGCGCGATAGTATAGACTAACACGAGTGATCAGTAAATGGAAACGCGATGTGAGACAGTCGTATTAGTAAGCAGTGATGCTGAGTTGAGAAGAGAGAGCTGCGCGGCGATAGACACCCGCGTGTGTGTATATTTTTATCTAGGATTAATTAGAATTACTTCGCGAAATTGGTGAAGATTTACTTGTGCACATATATATTATAGTCAAAATTTATAGTAAGAAAGTAAGACTGTTATACACAATTTAGACGTCGCGTAAATTATTTGTTCAGTCGTTGTCAAACGTACAAAGCGTTGACGTATGTCACTGCGTTGCGCAGTGTTACACATGCATGTGCGGCATGAATGTGTTTATTTAATGCGAGAAGGGTCGTGATCTGGCTCATACTGCCCTGTCGCGAGATTCGTGACGGCCAGGCTTAATCATGTGAAAGTAGATGAGGTCAGTTAATGCAGTTAGTGACATAGCGGTTTTCAACGTATGTTATTATGACGTCATGATGACGAGATGTGTTGATGTACGCGGCGATGCACTGTCTTGGTAATGCGGCGTAGCCGATAGACGGACTCCACTGTTCTCGTGGCTGTGCTCAACAAGGAATGCTATTGGTTCAGGATAACGACTAAGTGATCAGTCTAATTAAGGTCTTCACGCTGCGTAAATTTATGAACACTCTCCGAATATGTTGCAATTAGGCTTCTATACCTGTGCTGTCGACTGGGCAAGAGAGCATAACATCTGACATGACAAGAATATAAGCCATATGTTTAAGTGGCAATGGAGCACATTGCTCTATTCTTAATCAGCTGGAAATTCCTATATGCAATACAACGATGACAACGTTGACGACGACAACGATGATAACGATGACGCCGACGACGATAATGCGATGATGATAATCACACCTATCTACTTTGTCATTACGTGACCATGCTTCAACGTAAAAGTAATTCGCATAAATCATTAGCCTTTGAGTCATATTCTAATCTTTCTTCTCATATAATTATAATAATTGTATTTCTCGTTCAAAGTAGACAGCCACTGTAAACGCGTGTAATTACAACATATTGCGAACAATTTCCATCAATGCAAATGTATTCAAAGAACAAAGCGCAGTTTTTCAAGCAAATGTGAGCCCAATGTAAAAATGACATCATCGCGTCCAGGCCAGGCATAACGTTCGTTGGTGAAATCGTTGGTGAGCTGCACACGCCGCGGACAAAGTCCACATGCCAATCTTGACGTGACTGTGTGGTAGAGTGATAGATGTGCCAGTTCAGTGCTTAGTGGTCGCGTAGCGCGAGACACGACACTCGTCCTCGTGGAAACCGGATGAAGCAGTACTAGTAGCAGTTGGAAGGCCAGCAAAACGGGAAGATGCCTATAGCAAAAGACATTTGTAAGTTAACACGAAGAGCTAGACGTTGAGAGAGTGTTTTTTTAATTCTTATTTAGATACTCCACTATGCTCGTGTGTGTGTATGACTCTGAGGTCCGCTGTCAGAAATACCGTAAAGGATTGTGTCTGATCATTAAACGCAAATTGTCAAAACATTTGCACATCAAGTGTTATAAAAAAAAATACGACATTGATATAGTCATAAATATTTACGAGGTTTCTGACAACGGGCCGCTATACTGTACGTGCAACTAACCCGTTTTATAACAAGCCGCGAGTTATACACCTTACAACTAACAATATAACCGTTAAACACAGAGCAAGTACGTGCGTAATAATTACGTAACTGTGATAATCTATTTAGGTATGTATGTCGTATTTTGCATGTTTGTATTTTAGAAATGATGACCGAGTCAGAGACTCGCAGCCCCAAATCCTGCATACCTCCCAAATCCCATTGCCCCAAACAGAATTTTGTTGGCATACACGATGGCACACGCACATACACACACACACACACACACACACACACACACACACACACACACATATATATATATACATACACACACGAGCATCGTTGATAGAGAGTAAGTATAGTAGAACAGGCTCCAAGATGATCGTGTCAGTAGCCGTGGTCATGGATGTCAGCAATGCGGAGAATGTTTGTCTGCGCGCAGTGGAAGGCTTCAACATCACGTACGACGATGATCATCGGCCTCGTGCGTGATCATGGTCGCTACATTGTCCTGTCTCTGCTGCGCCTTCAGCACGACGAGGCCATCTTGAAGCTTCGTAGTAAATATAGGCGACCCTAACGGGCGTACATTACATAAGAAAGGATATGCGTTATACATTTTTTGCTTAGCTGCAATGAAAACCTTGTGTTTTGTGGACTGAAACCATCAATGTAGCACAAAACCGGAGATCGATGGTAACATTGATTTGCGAGGTTCACAAAACTCCATGTTGCCGGAACAACCAATAATTGTGTGGTAATGTGTGCAATCAAAAGCAAATAATACTAAGGCAGCTTCTGCTGCTGCCAAGATAAACAGGGACTTACCGCCCTGCACTGGAATTTCCACATTTTTTCTTACATTTTACATTACAATATTTCTTACTATGTTACATTAATACCATAATAATTGTATATGTCATATACAGCTAAACCCTAGTAAAAACCTGTTAAATATAAATCAAACAAAGCTGGAAAGACATAGTATCGTTATCTTACTATGATTATTTGTCAATATTTGGTAGAAATATTTCCAAGATATTTAGACCAAAAGATTGTAAACAAACCCGATACTTCAGTACGAGTGCTGAATTAAATTTCCAGTATTACATAGATTGATACTGATTTATACTAATCTGTCACGAAATAAAAAGACAAAAATTAGGTATTGACATAGTATGACAATAGAGTTGCAATTACCTATTGAAATTAGGCATGACTATGCTCAATATGTTGTGCATTGATGACCAAAAACATTTCAAGCACACCGGTGTTTAAGCATGACGGCCGCCGAATTAATTATTATACGCGCTACACGGCGCAAATCTATTCCGATTTACATAATTTCATCATGAGATATAAAACACAGCTTGTATATTGATATAGAATGATATTGATTTGCTGTAAATCTGTCTATATTAGATAGAAAGGTGCCCGAAATCTGAAAGTCCTGTGTTTTCTTGACGTATTTAACCCGCAGGTCAACCGGTGCTTGTTCAAAATAGGCGCAACATGCGTTGCTACACCTGAGCCTTGTAATCTTCGCTTTTATTTTGAAGGGAATTTAAATATGAAATTATCAGACTGGCGTAAATATGAATTTTCCGCTCAGCGTGTAACACTGCTTTCCGAAGGCAATACTGGATTATATTTGACGGCAAGTCACATTGTCGACACTAATTACAGTGCGATAGTTTTCGCATCTAAATAACACACACGCACACACACACACACACACACACACACACACACACACACACACACACATGAGCTTATAATGTTACCGCGAAATGCGGGAGTAGACGGTGGAAGGCGGTGGTCTGTTAAGTGTTCTAGTCGCAACTATATGTGAGTAGAGTGTTTGATTATTATTATTGATATGTCTATGGGAGAGTCGAGTGAATTATTTGAACAAGACTCGTGTGAGAGATTTTTACTTCGCACGTTCGAGCGCTGCCTCTAATTATATTATTAATAAATCTATTATTAGCGCCATGCCCGGCTCTGGCAACAGTGAGTTCAGTGTCAGGCTAGCGTTTTGCTTTAGTGTCGTGTTTGGCCTCAAATGTGTACTAAATTCCAAATTTGGTGTCAATCAGGACAATGACCGAACAAATGTGACACACACCCGTTGCTCCAATTGTGCAGTTGTCCAGTTGCTCCTGTAGCTTTCTAGTTGCTCACTTATATCGGCAGTGCGTAGCAGTCTAAGTACAGAACAGTATATGCATACAGCAGTGTATAGCTTGCATTACTGTATATCAGCGTATATCAGCATATATCAGTGTATAGTTTGCATTGCTATATATAAGTATATATCAGCATATAGTATATATCTGCTATGGGTGTAACGATTCAACTGTATCGCGGTACATCCCGTTCGGTTTGGTTTTCGGATTTTTTGTTTGTTTCGGTTCTCAGTTCGGTTTCGCGAAATACATTCAACCCACTCTCAGTTAGGTGGCGCACACGGCGAGCAAACAGCTCAGCAGTCAGCACGTACGCCAAGCCCCGTCCCTCGCACTTTTCTCAGCGTGTGCGAGGTGACAATGCATGAGATTACTAGTCTAATAGTCTATTTTGGTCAGGTAGATCACTTTAATGAATAGTATTATGACTATTATCCTTGAACTGTATTACTTTATTGTCTTTTGGCTAATGAATAACACAATAATTGTATAATATTATGATAGGTATTATTATTATTATTCAAAATGGAGGGAAAATTTCCCCATCTTCTCAGCATTTTTAATTTTTTACTACTGAAAATAACCGAACCGAATGAACCGAACCGAAGAGCAAAAACCGAAAACCGAACCGAACCGAAACAACATGTATCGTTACACCTGCATATATCAGTACATACAGCAGTGCATATATTTGGCAGTACTACTATCGTGTATTTTTTTAGCGAGCATAGCTAGTCGTCCAGGCTTCGTCGATGACGACATCTATCGAGGGTACGTGAAGGGTATCCCGGGCGGGCAGTACCACAAGGGCTGTCTCCTGCAGGGATTCATGACCTACAAGCACCTGCTGAAGAGGATCCCGCAGATGAAGATGAGAGAGGACGACATCGTCATATGCTCGTATCCAAAATCAGGTATATATATATATTATAAATTAGCCCCGATTTAACGCGAATTCGGATATAACGCGATGAGTCGTTGGACCCCCTTTTTTTTGCTCTTATATAGCCACGCATGCCCGCAACCCCGATTTAGTGCGAACCCGCTTTTTTCGCGGGCATTTATGGACACTAACCATCGCGTTATAACGGGGCTACACTGTAGTCTGTATATATAGCGTAGATTCGCGGAAAATATCAGCCTTGTAGTAATTGCGTGCGGTTTGTGATATGACGATGAACTTGCGTTGCGGCAGAGAAACTTTAACATAATACAGTGTCTTCTGAATCTGAATGGTTACAGTGCAGGACCATTGCGGTATAGAACTATGAGGCAAAACATAATTATCATGAACAGGGTAATATGTAACAGGGTAATATGGACAGGGTAATATGGACAGGGTAATATGTAGTCGGTGAAAACACGGTGTTTTGACACCTTCGCCCCTGACTGCTCCTGCATCCAACCATGCTTTACTGATTAACGCGATATCCAACTACTACTGTGCAACCTGCGCGATTCCGCATCATGTTATTTCATACTCGTGGCGAGAAAAGTGAATTCGAAGAAGCTATTTCTAGAGTAAATAGCGGAAAGAGGGGTCGACAGAGAAAGAAAACGTGAAAGGGGCGGTGTTGTAATAAATAGAGGGTGCGAACAGAGTGTGCATGTGTCCAATTAGCCAACTAGCGACAGCAATAAAAGTGGATAGTGTGTCTCGCTTGGTAGCTCATCGTCCTACAATATTGTCGCTAAACGAAGGCGAATTTAACAGGTACGACGTGGACGGAAGAGATAGTATCGCTCATCAAGAACAATGGCAACGTGGGCAAAGTAAAGAGGGAGATTCACTGGCGAGTTATCCACATGGAAACGGGCAGACCGTTCTTCCACATGCGTTACATGAACAACCTCAAGTCGAGGAGACTCTTGGCGACACATCTTCCGTTTGAACTCCTACCCACGCAGTTGCAAAACGGTCGCGGCAAGGTATGACAACTCGCTGTCGTGAGAGTCGCTGTTGTTGACATTTACAGCGATAAAATCACTCTGCATGCTGAAGTGTTGTGTTGCGTCTGCAGCGCTTCGCAACATCGCAAATTTTCTTAGAACACGATGATTATCGCACATATTTTATGATTATGAAATGTGAAGCCGTTAAATGAGGTTATTATGGTTATATACAACACACGGAGCGAGCTTGCTTAATAAAATCTTCCCGCTAATAATATTACTACGCGAAAGATGGTTTGGTGCAGGAGTACTTGCCCTATAGAGACTATAGCATACGTTCGATGCGCAGGTGACGATATAGAGCGCAGACCGTGTTTGTTCACAGATAATATGTGTTTACAAATCGTTTACGTACGTCAGCGGATCCACAACGATTGTGTTTCGTTTACCTGGTAGTTGAAGGTACGACGTGATAATATACTCACATGACGTACAGATGGTTAATATCTCGCAGCATGTGTGCGTGCGTGCGTACGTGCGTGCGTGCGTGTGTGCGCGCATATGTCTCTCTCCTTAGATATATATATATATATATTTCTGTGTGTGTGTTGAGTGTGTTATGTGTGTGTGTGTGTGTGTGTGTGTGTGTGTGTGTGTGTGTGTGTGTGTGTGTGTTTGTGTGTGTGTGTGTTGTGTGCGTGTGTGTGTCGTGAGCGTGTATGTGTGTGTGCGTGCGGTGTGCGTCCGTGCGTGAGCGCGCGTGCGCGTGTGTGTGCGTATGTGTCTGAGTGTAACTGTGTAAGTATGTGTATGGGTGGGTGGGTGCGGGCAGGGATATCCACGATTTATGAACCAGAACACGACTATCAAAGCAGAAAGACGCACCCTTACACAACACATGGCTCGGTATCTACTATTCATTCACCAGGACACAGGCACGAGATACGTGAAACACTATATAAAATACGGGGGCGATTCCCTACCTTGCAGTCACTACAGGCACATGAACGCAGTGACACGTCCCCAAGCGTTACGCGTGGGCTGATGTCTCTATTAGCACACTACTAGACAAATTTTACTATTAGCATACAGCCGCCAGAACATAACTGTCAACATTCAGCCTGCTCGCTCTCTCGCCCCTTACCCTCTCCCCCCTTACCATCTCCCCCACCCCTCTCTCTCTCTCTCTCTCTCTCTCTCTGACTCTCTCTCTTCTCTTAAATTTCGGCAATAACCAGTGGGTGTCAATTTCCCCCTGGCGTAGAGGAAGGGTGCCGCTACGTGGCAGCACTAGTCACTTCGTACACTTCCGTCATTCCACAGTCTGACTCTGTGAAACTTCCATGCTAGACATGGGTGTTGCTATCCCACGGGCGTGGAGGGAGGTCACGTGATAACGTTGACGATGACGTTCAAAAGATAGACGGACTTCACTGTTCTCGTGCTGTGCGTCACAAGGAATCGCTATGTTCAGGATAACGCCTAAGTGATCAGTCTTAATTAAGGTTACGCTGCGTTGTAATTTATGAACACTCTCCGAATATCGTGCAATTCAGGCTTCTATACCTGGGCTGTCGACTGGGCAAGGAAAGCATAACATCTGACGTGACAAGAGTATAAGCCGATATGTTTAAGTGGCAAAATGGAGCAGCATTGCTCTATCTTAATCAGCTGGAAATTCCTATATGCAAACATGTAAGTGACCTACCACAGTAGAGCAATCAATGCTCTATCAGGTTACGTATATAAGTAAGCCCACTCACAGAGGGCAACATGCTGCTAGAGGTTACGTATGTAAGTAACCCAGCCACAGTAGGGGCAAACATGCTCTATCCAGGTTACGTATGTAATTAACCTACGCACAGTAGGGCACCAACATGTCATTCAGTTACTATACTAATAACCCTAACCACAGTAGGGAATCATGCCTATAACGGTTACGTAATATAAGTAACCCACACAGTACGGAGCAAGTCATGACTCTTACAGGTAACGTATATAAGTAAGCACACCAAGTAGGGGCAATTGCATGCTCTAGATTCAGGTCTACTAGAAGTAAACGCCCCTACAGTAAGAGCAGATCATCCTACAGGTTACGTATGTAATAACCATACGACAGTAGGGCAATCATGCTCTATCAATGTACGTCATATGTAAGTAACGCGACACCTACAGTAGAGCAATGCATGCTCTACGCAGGTACGTAATGTAAGTACCCTACCACAGTAGGGCAATCATGCTCTATCAGGTTACGTATATAAGTAACCCACCACAGTAGGGCAATCATGCTCTATCAGGTTACGTATATAAGTAACCTACCACAGTAGGGCAATCATGCTCTATCAGGTTCTCTATCATAAGAAATCCCTTAGCGCTGTGAATAACGCGTATTTTTCGCAAGCAACCGCGTAAATCCATATGCCAAAACGGTCATTAAACTGTAATTTCATAGAAATACCTAACGAAAGCAATTATGCATGTAGAATCGAGTTATAATGCAATTTATGTTGAGGGAACCAAAGTATACTATGCAATCAATGTCTCAGCATTGACCCACAAGCTCTCAGCATTCCGTTCGGATTTCTTATTTGTTAGAGATATACCTTCCCTATATATATATATATATATATAGTATATATATATA